ATATATCCTGGGCTTGCCTCAAAAATCATATTAAAAAAGTTTCTGATCTTTTGAAACACAGCTTGTTTTTTTCTAGACGCATCTAAAACACATTGACTTATAAAGCTGCAAAAATGTACTTCGAAGCATTGATAATTTAAAACCTTAAATGATTGCTGAAGCGTTAAGGTCTCATATTAGTTTTTGCTTTCCGAAACATTCCCTTCCAATTGGCTGACCTGTAAAAAGAGATTTTGTCTATGTACCAAAGTATCCTTTATACTGTTGGCTCTTTGAAGTAGTTCTTGAGAGAATGATTTAGATTTGTTTTCACTGGGCATGCACGTTTGACAGGCCTCACACTCTGGTTCCCTCGGCTACTTTGTTGAGCCCCCACCATCAATAACACATTAGCAAAAGAATTTGAAGATGATGAAGATGAGCTACAAGTTTTTTTCTGAACCCCCTTTACAGATTGATTGAAAATAACTTAAACATATATAACGTCCTAACCTCCTAAGACATTACGAATTTACAGAACAGATGAGAGTCGTTGATCAAACCTCTAAAATAAAAATGCACCTGCAACAAATGCAGCTAGGGGCTGATTATTGATGTTGTTGGGCTACAATTAGGCTGATTTAAAGCCATTTGCCATTACCATGGGAACAATAACAAGGCCACAAGACTGCCGCCAGTTTGGTGACAATTATTTTTTTCCTGCCAGAGACAGTAGCAGGAAATGACAGCCCCCTCAAAGGCCTCATAAACACTTAGATCACTATCTCAAGGATTTAAAAGATATAGGTATGTATTTAGAAACAATTTATAAAATACCCTAACTGTGGTATTTTGTGTTCTCGTAGCAGAGCCAGTGAGATACCATCACTATAAATTGCAGGAAAACACACAATATTAAACTTTAATCATTTTATTGTGTATTCAAATGTTCAACTTATCTTTAAGACTGTAAACAATATAACTATTTTCGGTTCATGAGCTGTATTGACAACAGAAAACCCAACTGTAGCTCAAAACACAAAGTCCTGGCAAGTCTAAAACTTTCCTCTAACCTGAGTAGTCTTGGAAATGTTAGAGGAAAACCAGATAGTGTACTCATACTGATTATCTTCCACTTTATCTGGGACCAGGCTGCGGCAGTCACAGAAGAGACTCCCACACATGAGAGGGGAGGTGTCTTGGTAAGGGGGAACCCCAAGGAGCTTCCCGGCCAGCAAAGATACATATTCCCTCCATCGTGCCTTTGGTTGTTCTCTGACCCTCCCGGTGGGATGTGCCTGGAACACCTCCTCAGGAAGCATCTGAAAAATAGGTCTGAGCCACTGTGGCTGACTCCTCTCAATGTGGAGGAAAAGCAACTCTACTCCAAGCTTCTCCGGGATGACTGAGCTCTTCGTCTCCGCCATCTTCCAGAAAAAGCTCAGGACTATGGATGGAAATTAGTTAAAGCCATATCTGGTGCAAATCGTATTTTTATAATCCACTCCTTTCCTGCTTATTCTGTCAAGATTGCGGTGGAGCTGCTGCCTATGTCCAAGAGTCTATAAACAGAGAGCAGGGTACACCCTGGACAGGTCGGCAGTCTATCGCAGGGCAACACAGATACACATAACTATACACACACACAAGAAAAATTTAGTCAATGAACCAACAGTCATGTTTTTGGAGTCTTGGAGGAAGCCGGTCTACCCGAGAGAACCCCTGCTTGCACGGGGCGAACATGCAAATTCCATGCAGAAAGACTCCAGCCGGGAATCAAACCTAGGACCTTCTTGCAGCAATGCAATGATGCTACAAACTATGTCACCTTGCAGCCCTCTTTATCTATTTATTTTTTGAAACTAAATTAATCAACTTAACTACACTAAATACATCAAAGCTTGTTGCTCCAATGAGACCAAATGAGAAATTTTCTCGGCTGAGAATACTTTGTAATATAATCCGCTTGCATCTAAATTCTTCCCTCTGTTAGCGATATGTAATGTAAATGTAATGCCTAACACTTGTTCAAATGTAATTCCTCATATTATAATTAGATTTTATTAACGCAGTGAGGAAAATGATCTTACTACTGACCTCTGACATGATTCATATATCACCAGAGATGTTGGAAGTTCTCCTGTTGCCGCCATACATAAAGGCCACCCAGATAGTGTGTCTAAAACACATATCCAGGTTGATCTTCACAAGCCTTCACCATGAAGACACGCTGTCCATCTTTTTTTTTACCTCAGGCTGATTATCTTGGTGTTCTTCGCTTTGGGCCTGCAGCTGGAGCCCTTTGACTTCCTGTTGAGTCATTACAGCAAATAAGGAATACCTTGACTAACCTCGATGCATAGCTCTGTGTAGTCATGCACCTTTTACATGCAGGGACCTTGTGACATTATTGCTCATGCTTTAGCAGGCTCTTGCACGAGCGAATGCGAGTGTTTAAATGTGTCGGCCCATCTGGGAGTATGTCTGTAAACTACATCTGGCAGAAAATCTCTGTGGGTCCTGAGGGATGGCAGCCAAGAACTGAGGGGATTCCCGCAGTGATGTTCGCTGTAACTATAGTATTGTCTGTTTAAATTCATTTTTTTTCTGCTGATTTGAAGATTTCATCCTTCAGGTTCACCTTGTTCATTTAGGGTCACAAGTCCTATGACTATAAATATATCATCTGTAACACTGACTGTGGCTTTCTTTCAAAACTGATTAGTTTAAACCCATTCATATTTAACTTGAAGGAGTTTTGCATGTTTTATTTTTATGTTTTCATATGTGGCATCCATACCACCACTGTTTTTCTTTTCTTTTACCAAATTATGTCTTTGTGGGGCTCCTCAGGAGGCTGATTCACCCTGGTAGCTTAATGCGCAGAGTCAGCTTCTTACCCCCAACTGCCCCACTAGCTCCTGCAGACATAAATTGGATGAGAAGGCAAAAGACTTGGCCAAATGTATCTGAGGTATCGAGAGTAATAAACGCAGTCAGATGTTAAATGGAGAGGGATCCTTTCTCATGGTCAGAGTGTACTTGGCAAATCCATGCAAGATGGTTTTCTTCAGACTTTTGAATAGGTTCTTTATAGAAAATACCTACAAAACATTGTATAGATGAAAAACTATATTTCATATACCTTGAAATCAGGGGACAGTTTGTGTTTTAGTTTCTTTTTTATGACTAAACAATATGTATGGTCTGAAAAAAATATTTTATGCAGTCTATACCACATACATTTTATACACAGCCGATCATAAATCAGACCAAAACACTTTTAAATTCAGATGCAATTTGATGAATGGTTTATTAGGACTATATGTCTTTATTGACTGTGATTTAAAAAATTCAAGAGCAACCTGTCTCCCTGCTAGATAAATCACTCGGGCACTGGAGAAACATAAATGAAATATCCATATTAGGACAAAGATTAGTCACTGTCAAAAGACCACATCAGGATTCTACATGTATAATACTCCAAAGCTTTAAGATGCCTGATATTCAATTGCATTAGCAATGATTATTTCTGAAAAGAATTTAAGTCAAAATATAAGTTTCAAATCCACAGATAACAATGAATCAGTTTAACCTTTGCAGCTGTTTGTGTCCAAGTACATCTGGATTTATTACCTAAGGAGGTTCATGGGAGTAGTCAGAGGGTGGAGAAATACAGTGATGTCATCCTGTAAAGTTAGATAGGCAGACAGCACTTGGCCATGAGAGGACATTAGGTGCAGGAAATCTCATACAGCTTTGCATTTTTGTTTACTGGATCACAGATGCTCAGAGTTTACACTGTGACGGAGGCACCGACTGCCAAATTGCAGTTGTTTTTGGCTGTTTTGAATTCACATTTCCAGTATGCTTGTCTAAAAGGATTCCAGACATCTATCTGCTGTGTTTCAGGCATGTCCCTATATGGTCACAGTGATCATTAGTCGATTCATGTTTTATCGTAGGCCCTCTTCAGAACATTCCCACCCTCTCAGCCCTGGAGACAAAAAGCAGAGGCCTGGAAGCTCTGGCTTCTCCGCTTCAGTGAAGTTCCAGCTTTCCTGCAGCTATAAGCTAATAAGCAGTTGGTAAGGATCTAGTCCCTGGAAGGCCTTAAAACCCTAACCTAAGCTTTTCATGGTTGGATTTTCTTTTCAGTCAAGCTGACAATAAGCCGTGTATTATTGAGCCTTCATGAGGAGAAAAGTTCTCTGGAGGTGTCATTTTCATCTCCAAAGCAGCCCTTAGGGACAGGAAGGTTTGGTTTTGGCTCCACTGCCTGAGCTAATGTGGGTCTGCAGTTTGAAATCCCGCTCGAATGGTTTGTGGCATGCCACCTGCTGATTCTGCTAGTGTTTGTGGACAGCCCGAAGCCCAGAACTAACCTAGATAGGCAACATGTCCTTTCTTTCGAAACTCCTAATACACACTATAAGAACAATGCAAGTTACAACCCAGCCAGTATAAACTAGTCGAGTCAACTTTGGGAAGTTTGCACAATCCTGAAAACTGCACCTCACACAGAAGACAGTTCACTAAGAGGATTTATTTCTTCTGAAAGAGATAGCCTGAGAAATCCAATGATGTGTAGTAATGTGCACATATGTGCGTGTGTACTTGATGATAGCAAATTCCCTGTTTGGATTATTTTCCCTCCTTCTTCTCAGTGCTGCTTGATGGTGTTTTGTAATACCAATATCCTTTTTCCAGTCTTTTTTGAGCTTCTAATTCTCTAAAAAGTCCCAACTTGACAGCTACCTCTTTGTAAGAGAGCTCTGTGTACATGAGCTGCATTAAGCAATAGAGAAATTAAAGATGCATTGATTTTCTGAGCTCAGAGTGAAATGTTAATTTTAATTAATACAATTATTGTCATGCTGAATTTGAAAAAATAATATGGTTTCCACCAGGATTAAAGTCTTTCTGGAGATACTTAGCTAAATCATTGTTCTTACTTTGGATTCACCCTGTATAACTTTATTTCTGTCCTTTTGTCCCCCACCCTTCTTTATATTTTACAGAGTCTGTGAGCAAGTGAGAGAGGGACACTGTCTGCCCCACTGTCCAGTGACACCATGAGCTGGAGCTTCCTCACACGGCTGCTGGAGGAGATCCACAACCACTCCACCTTCGTGGGGAAGCTGTGGCTCACCGTGCTCATCGTCTTCCGCATTGTTCTCACTGCCGTTGGGGGAGAGTCCATCTACTATGACGAACAAAGCAAGTTTGTGTGCAACTCGGGTCAACCAGGATGTGAGAACGTGTGCTACGATGCCTTCGCCCCATTATCTCATGTTCGCTTCTGGGTATTCCAGATCATTCTGGTAGCGATGCCTTCCCTTATGTACATGGGCTATGCTGTCAATAAGATTGCACGATTGGATGAAGCAAAAGGAACCATTGGATCTTCCTCCGTCAGAACAGGAGGAGGTGGCTACACCCACCGTAAACCCAGGAAAATCTGCTTTGGAGCCCGGCAGCACAGAGGTATAGAAGAGACTGAGGAGGACCAAGAAGATGATCCTATGATCTATGAGGTGCCAGAGATTGAACCACCAAAAAGGCCTCGGGATCCGCTGCAGCCCACACCCAGACCTAAGATCCGCCATGACGGACGTAAGCGTATCCGAGACGAGGGTCTGATGCGGGTCTATGTCCTGCAGCTGGTTACTAGAACAGTGCTTGAGGCCAGCTTCCTTGCAGGCCAGTATTTACTTTATGGTTTTCGTGTGAAGCCGATTTTTGTGTGCTCGGGAAAACCTTGCCCCCACAGTGTCGACTGCTTCGTTTCTCGGCCTACGGAAAAAACTATATTTCTGCGTATCATGTATGGTGTCACTGTCCTCTGTCTCACTCTCAATATTTGGGAAATACTCCATTTGGGTATTGGTTCTATTTGTGACATCCTGAGGAAACGGCGAAGCCCACCTCAGGATGACGAGTACCAGCTAGGGTTGCTGGGCCCTAACGCTGGTGGGGAGGGCTCTGTGGGTGGGACAGCTCCTGAGGCAGGTTCTGAGGGTGGAGTAGGTGGAGAAGGAGCTGCAGATTACGTTGGGTACCCATTCTCATGGAACACCCCTTCAGCTCCGCCGGGGTACAACATTGTTGTGAAGCCAGAGCAGATGCCATACACTGACCTTAGCAATGCCAAGATGGCATGTAAGCAGAATAGGGCAAACATTGCCCAAGAGGAACAGCAGCAGTTTGGTAGCAATGAGGATAATTTCCCTACTGGAGGGGAAGCCCGAGTGGCTCTCAACAAAGACATGATCCAGCAGGCTCATGAGCAACTGGAAGCAGCCATCCAAGCCTACAGTCAGCAGCACCGGGCAGAGGAACATCTTGGAGACAACCAGGATGACAAGCCACAGAGTAACATCATCCAGGCCCAGCCACAGCCCCAACTTCAGCCGCATAAAGAGCGAAAACACAGAGCGAAGCATGGCAAAGGGGGCAGCAGTGGGGGAGGCAGCAGCAGCAACAGCAGCAGCAGCAAATCAGGAGAGGGCAAACCTTCTGTATGGATTTAAGCCCACCTGAGGTGGCACGTATTGTTAGCTTGTATATACTACTAAATGGATGTGAAGCTGTTGCAACCAGTGTTAAGTAATATACCATACTTGCCTTAAAGAATCCTGCAAGCTGGAGATTAATGTGGTTTAATAGAGCTGGGTAAAAACATTGATGTTGCAGCTGACAGTTTGTTTAGTCCATACTATCTCTGCTAGAGTAATAACATAAACGATGTGATCTTTATGTTTTCCTATCACATCTGAAAATAGGTAAATGTTGTCCTCCTGCTTCCCTTTTTGTTGGAAATACAGCTTCATAAAATCTTTGATTTCTCAAAGCTGTCTTGAAAGCAGATTACCTGTAGAGTTTTTGAGCGAACAAATCCTAAACAAGTCTTGAGGCAACAAAACAAAAATTGATGCATTATCCCTATGTCTTATGTACAATATCTAGCAAACCAAAGCTTTGACTTAAGGTTATGATAATTAAGGTAAATGTACATAAAAGGTGATTAAAGGGCATTACCTGAATCATTGACTGTTTACTAGAACAAGAACGTAACTGCCTAAAGGTGATGTTCTGTCAGAGTTTTTCTTTTTTCATTCTTGTAGCACTTTTTCTATGTTTATTGCTATACTTTTTAATTCAACTGTGTGCTTGTCTCATGCAAATTCTTAAAGTGCTACACCAGCTGCTACTCAGGTGCCACTGAGTACAGCCGGTGGATCTTGTAGTTTTTGTTTTGTTTTTTTACAAAATGCAGAAGCAAGTCAGCTTTTATACCTTTAATCCTTAGGTTACTATCCATCTCTGTTGTTGGTGGAGATAGTGCTTCTCTGCTGCTCCATTTGCCTTGAAGCTGACTGCCCCCTGCTGGCGATTTTATACTGGGCATTTACTCTCCTTTCATTTACCATGAAGTAGATGCAAATACTACCTATATCCAGCAACACCTTAAAGGAATAGTACACCCAAAACATGATTAGCCTTCATTTTCTACTCACCTCCATGCTGAACAACACTCTGGAGTACTTTTTTGATATCTCAAATGCATCTGGAGATCTGGGAGGCTTCTTGCTGTCTGCTGACATTCAAATAATGGAGGTCCATGGCGCCCGAGACAGAAAGGTCCATAAAAGTCCACAAAAACGTGTCAATATTCCTCCATACTGCTCGTCCAATGTAATCCAAGTGTCCTGAGTGGGTAGCATCCAGAATTTACTCGAAACGAAGTCATTTAGAATGTTTTTAGAGCATAAACAGTAGTGTATAGGATTTCCTAATAGCGCCCCCATGCGCGCTCACGATTCTACGGAAGCCGGCAGACCAAACCAGCGCATTCAGCTCGGCAAAGAACTCATGCTCTTCCTCAACACTGAAGTCCTCAGACATTTTTCTTTCGTTGTTTCTTTCTTTGCACAGGTAAACAGCACATTTCTTCTTCTACGCTTGCATTATCGGCAGACCAGACGCTGAATGCGCACTTTCTTCCGGTTTGGTCTGCCGGCTTCCGTAGAATCGTGAGCGCGCATGGGGGCGCTATTAGGAAATCCTATACACTACTGTTTATGCTCTAAAAACATTCTAAATGACTTCGTTTCGAGTAAATTCTGGATGCTACCCACTCAGGACACTTGGATTACATTGGACGAGCAGTATGGAGGAATATTGACACGTTTTTGTGGACTTTTATGGACCTTTCTGTCTCGGGCGCCATGGACCTCCATTATTTGAATGTCAGCAGACAGCAAGAAGCCTCCCAGATCTCCAGATGCATTTGAGATATCAAAAAAGTACTCCAGAGTGTTGTTCAGCATGGAGGTGAGTAGAAAATGAAGGCTAATCATGTTTTGGGTGTACTATTCCTTTAACCAGCTGTAGTGGTTCTTTTCTATTGACAAGACTTGTGTCACTTATGTCTTCCCAGTGCTTCATATTCAGTGTTGGACGCACAAGTCTCCACATCGTAATGGAAAGAGCTTAAAGCCATTACTGTAATAAAGGGAGACCAAACACTGTCAGTGTGATGCAAGTGTCAGTGCCAAGATTTTACACTAGGCTGCTATGAAGCTTGGTTGTTTGTAGCTTTGGAATACTTTGGCCATGCTACTGCAGCCATGGAACGACTTCTGTGTCCGACCAACCCTTTTGTAAAACTCCTTTTTTAAAGTACAATCTGTGTATTGCTCTTTTAAAATGGGACTTGAAATGAAAAGCTTCAAAATGGAGTCAATTTTAAAGTTAAAGCCAGTGTTTTATATGAAAACATTTTGCTTTTGGAATGAAGTTCTTTTTTTGTATGATTAAAGAAAAAATCAATGATTACCTTTGTGGATATTTATGGTTATTGTGAGTTAATTGCCTTCCAACTGTAAAAATGTGAAATATGACATAGTATATTTTTATAACATGTCAACTACAATGGCTTAAGAAAATTAGTCATTTGTTTTCTTGTGTGGTGTAGTATATTATCAGTATTTAATGTATTTAGGAACCCTCTGGACTGAATTTTAATAAACAGTGTTATTCATTTTTTATCATTGTCTTGAAATATATGTGACTTCAGTGTGTGATGTGCAAAAATGGATTGGATGGGGAAAGATTTTAAAGTCCCAAATTACTGTTTCAACAGCTGTTCAAAAAGGATGTAATTAGGTTCTGTATTTAAATGAGCTGTACTTATATATAGCGCTTTTTCAAGTCAGTAGACTTTACTAAAGCACTTTAAACTACAGTACATTTAGTCATTCACCCATTAACACACACACTGATGGTGGCAAACTACATTGTAGCCACAGCTGCCCTGGGGCTCACTGACAGAAGCGAGGCTGCCGTACACTGGCGCCACGGTTCTCCCTGACCACCATCAGTAGGAAATACAGGTGAGGTGTCTGAATCATACAATGGAAAAGCTGATTATATCTGTTGTTCGATGAGTTAATAGGATACATAAAAGCTAAGATACATTCACAAAAAATGAACTGCTGCAAAAATATACCAGTTGGTTGAGTTGTAAAAAATAAAAGAAGGGAGATGGTGGATTTTTCTTTTTTTTAAGCATACATACCCTAATTTATATAGTCTATTAACCTAAAGTAATATCCATGGTATGGTTGTTACATGTCAGGTACGCCTTGACCTTGACCAAGGCACATTACAGTAGAACTGCAGTCAATCCCTGGACTGGCATGGCTATCACTGCCCCTACATAGTTAGGGACAAATTTCCCACTGGGATCAGCTTCATAGTCATGGTAGGACACTTCTTTGATTTTACTTAGGAAAATCTTTTGGCAATAAATCTATTAAGATTTGGAACAAAACCTCACAAAACATTGCAAATGAATATCTGCATCCTTTCAAGTCAAGTATTTATTTATTTTTTTTCAAATTTAATTAATCAAATTGAAACAGCTGAAACAATTTTCGAAATCTGAAAAAAAAAAACTGCTTAAAAATCCAAATACATTCAAATTAGCCTGAAAATGAAATAGGCCTATATAAAATAATTGTGCTCACCTTTGAAATATTCATTTAAAGCATTTATTTTATAAATACTGATTCTATTGCTTCTATTGGCTCATTTAAAGTAACCAAGGCTACATGCTTGCAATGAATGAGTTAAAACTAACAGGTCCATCAAACTATATTTACCATTGATCGGACAACAGGCATTCTGCAAGTCACACGAGGGACCTGGCCATCAGGTCAAAAGGCCAACATTCGATTCACTTATGACCAATGGCCAGACATTAACATCAAATCTGGCAGTTCTTTCAAGATAATAATCTTAACACGTGTCTTAAATTGCTTAATTAAAATGCATTTTTCTACCCTTCGATTCTCTCCTCCAGGTTTCCTCCACTGCTCTCGGCCACAGCTCCACTTGTCTCACCAACATCTTCTAGATTCTGGCAGCGGTCTACACATTAATTTTATGTTCGATTCATAACCAAAATGCAGATTTTGAATGTTCAGCAATGCCTGTACACTCTAGACTAATAATTTCATGACAACTTTAAAAACAGAAAAATGTTTGCGCTTCAAACTACTTTGCCTGGGCATGCTATCGCTATGTCCAGAGATTAGGACTTCTACATATTTTGTGACACAATGGTAAGCTTATAAAAGGTAATGTCTTCTGACTCTCGACACATCTGAAGTGTTAGTTTTTGACTTCTTAAAAATTAAGTCCCTTAAACTGCTTTGTTTTTGCTGCTTGGCCGTGATGCTGTTCAGAACACTGTCAGCTGCTCAGCTGGGGTCAAAAATGAAATGGCAGATGCCCTCTGGGCCATCGTAATTTGGTCAGGCTACTCGTCAGCACACAGATTACCAAATGTTGAAAGGGCAATATTATTGCCATTACTATTAATATATAGTAGATATTTACATATTCAGTGATAAAATATCACTGAGGATGGCATGGGGAGATATTTTTTAAGATTTTCTTTAGAAGGGGGAAGGCATCCCCCCTCAACTTGAGTACTGAATACATTTGTAATTTTAACAGCTGCCTTTCTATACCTCTAAATATCCAAGTGATCTCATCACCCAGAAATAAAATGAACACAATTGCGCTACAGCCAGCTGGTCTAGTTGGGTGGCCTCTTTAAGCTTCCTGAAAAATGAATTAGCAGAAAAATAAATTGTCTGAGAATAAGCATGAGGGGTTTACAATGACAACAGTAATGCTCTCAATCAAATGGCCAAAGTGCAGATCACCGTGCTGAAGCAAATGTACAATGAAACTTGTTAAAGTTTGCTTCAGAAGATGTGGACAAGCTTTTGAAAGACTGGGAGACCCTGGTTATATGAGGCCAAAGTAATTTCACACATTGTGTTAGGAGGCAAAAACAGGTGAACATTGGATAATCACAGTTTTTTTTTTCAGGCTTCATATAATTAAAGGAGTGATTGATGGAGATGTGCATCGGGACACTGACAAATGAAGCTTAAATGAAACTTCAATCTGGAAGACTTTATCAGCCTCACCTGGACCACCTGCTGACATCCCGCACCCAAGCTTCATCCAATCAACACTGCTCTCCTTGCAAAGCCAACTGTCCTTCAAGATGCTCTTCATTAAGACAAAGGCTCTGCTTCCCCTTCAGCGTATAAGCCTAATTTACACCCATCTTCACTCCATCTCCTGCCTCACTCTTGGACTATTCTTACACCCACATCCTCCAGCTTGTTCCACCACCAGTGTTCGGGCCCCAGGCTGAAGACTACTCTAATCCTCTTCCTAATTTATTCATCCAAACTCATGTCAACTCACAGGGTACGTGCTCCAAAGAACCTATTTCATTCATGTCAAAAAATGATTTCTAATTAATTGTTTTCTCTGTGTGACACTCAGCAGGTTGAAATGTATCAATGCTGTAGTGGACCAATCAGAACCTCCAAGATTTAAAAAGCTATACTAAAATTCAAGCCTAAGTGATGCACAAGAGCAGTTTTTCCATACAGAAAATACTTTGAAATCGAAAAAGTGTTTTTCATATTCTGTTATGACGTTCACTACTTATCTCCTGTTTTTCCAGCTTTCACCCATGTGAATCAAACGCTTTGACATCTAGGTATGTATGGAATACTTAGGTTGTACACAATTTATTGTCCATGGTCCCATGGGTAATGTTTAATCTGATCATTACTTTTACAATACATATTGTTGATTGAAAATGTAAAAATATTACATCTTTTAAATAAAGCACAATTTTAAAATGTCATAATTTAACATAATTTCTGTTCGTTGGTGCACAAAGGTACTTATTCTTTTAAAATACATATATTTTTCTGAAGGCTGAAAAAAATATAAAGAGTGAGATTACTGAGATGTTCATTAGAGATTGTCATGAGTCCTGGGTTCCTGAATCCAATGTTTTAAATAGTGAATTTTAAACAGAAAAACACCAAAACCTTAGAGGAAAGCCACCTAACCCTAATGTAT